ATTTAATTAGTTTTAGTCTTAAATTAATTATGAATTAATTTAGAGATTAAAAGGAATACTAATTAAATTATGGGCTATTTTTTTATATAGTGTGGGCTAATACTCATTTGTTAATGGGCTAGGCTTATGTGGAAGTCCATGGATGATCCATGGAGCTTTTAACCCATGGATCCTTGGAAAAGGAAAAGACATGGGTTATTAGGGTTTCACCCTAACCATGCATACTATATAAGCATGCTTATGGAGCATGAAATGAAGCCTAAGAGAAAACTAGTGATCTAGTGTGTGTGTGCATGTGTGTGGCCGAAAATACAAGAGTGTGTATACTCTCTCAAAGTTTTCCAAGAGTTTGTGGTGTTTGTGATTCCATTTGAGGCATTCACACTATTGGTGCTTGGCCCTTAAACTCCTAAGAACCCAACTCACCAAAAGGTATGTAATCTCTTCTAACTCTTTTATGTTGAAATGTTCCCCATGCCATGTTAGATAGGTTATAAACCTTGGAAAATTATTATTTTGCATGTATTTAGACAAACATAGATCCAAGGTTTATTAGGGTTGCATGTACACTTAGGAAGTGTTAGATTGCTCAAAACCCAACATAAACTCCTCAAAGGAGTTAAAAGGAAGCCCAAACACTTGTTTAAGCCTTGAAGCAATTCACCACTTGATTTGTAATAATGTTAGACTTTATTTAGGAACCTTATTTAGAGTTTACGGCCAGGAGTTTACTCCCCTAGGCCGTAAACTCCAACATATATGGTCTTTTGACCATAAACTTCCATGAGAGGTCTTGCACTCCTTTGTTGCAACCCTTTAGCCTCCTAGCACTTAAAAAAAGTCTTTACCTCACATTAGAATGTTTATACATGTTTAATTAGTGTTTTAATCACTAATTGTTTATATACATATGTCTTCATATGTAATTAGGATCATTGTGTGTGTCTAAATTCTTCGCTTGACACCAAGCACTTGTCCGATCCTTCCTTACGATACAGTCCGTTCAATTCCAATCACTTACTACATGTGAGTTCATACCCCTTAATCAATGTTTTAACTGTTTTTAAACATTTTAGGGCCCGGGGGGGGGGGGAGATACAAGTAGAATTATGCTAGTTACTATATCAATCACATGTGATTAGTAAGCAGCATTCAAATGATTGGCTATTCATTAGCCATTTTACCAAACAGTTTCCTTCAAATGATTTTCATAAACATTTTATATGATTAAAACTCCTTGTTAAGTTGTACACTTTACTCTGTACGCTTCATTTCAAACTCATTTATAATTGTGTTTCAAACAAATGTTCTTTTATACTTAAAACTGTTTTATCAAACCTATGCTTTCAAACCGTTTTATAAATTGACATCAAGTTGATCTTTTCTTAGATAATAATTATGTTCAAAGGTTTTACAAAACTTACTTTATGCTTTTATATTATAAATTGCATGCCTATATATGTATATATGTATGAGGAACGTTTAAAAGACTTAGGAAGGCTATCCACCTTATTTCCTTTTCGCACTTGAGATGTGGTCTGGTGGGATATCGGGTACCCGTCCGAAGGTTGTTTAAACATTAGTTATATATCATGTGTACATATATGGACATAATAGTTCCTTTTAGTCAGTTCAGTACCTTTGGGTAGCAAAGGCATACGTTCATATACTTTTACATGATTACGCTTACATAAGTACATATACATGAATACGTTAACAAAATTATGATCGACTATATCGGAGCATGCCTTCAATGTCATGGCCCGAGTTGTAGCCAGAGTCTCTTGGAGGGAGAGCGTGAGTTTGCGTATAGATCTATACTGGATTGACTATCCTACACCTTGCTACTAGCTACAGCATGACTTGCAGGTCTGCGGGTGCCGAACGTCATTTCTTTTTATGACCTACATTTGTCGTTGTTATCCAGTTAATAGTATAGTACAATTAATCACATGATACCTTAATATAAATCCGGTTTAAGGTAGTTTGTACAACAGTAGTTCTTATAGCACTACATTACAATACTACATTAATTTTCCCTTTACATATATTTAGTGATCTTTTCACTTAAACATTAAATGTAAAAACTATATTTTGTTAATGATAGTTACACTTGGGAAAATTACACACTTTTACAAGAAACGAACATTTAGAACAGTTAAGTCTTGGTAGAAGACTCCATGTCATAAAAGTAGGAATCATAGAGATTTCTAGGGTTTTTCAAACGTTTACAGTTGTGTTACAAACATTTTGAATACTTACAATTCTTATTCATACAAATTATTACTTATAAATTAAGACACATTAATACTTATGATCTCACCAGCTTTAAAGTTGATACTCTCTTTCAAATTAACTTGTATCCTCAGGTCACTGATAGACAGGTACCGATGCAAGGTTTGGAGAAGATGGAGCTCGTTCAAGACTAATCTTTCATTTTCATTTATGCTTTAGTCTTTATCAAAATTTGACAGAACACACTTGTATAATAATTATATTATTAATGCAATGGATGATGTTGTTGCTTGTTTACTATTTTTCATTGTTGTGATACTGTACATGACGTCCTCCGCCCCAGAACGTTTCCGCCGTTCTTGGTTTTGGGGTGTGACAACTATTACATTTTTATGCAACATTTGATACCGATTGGAGTTAGAGCGTTATTGGACAAAGAATCTTCTACACTAATTGTAGATATTTGTACGTTTTTCAAGCAAATTTGCTCCAGAACACTAAAGGTGGAGGATATGAGGAAAGCAAATTTGCTCCAGATGACTAAAGGTGGACAAAGAAACTTCTACACTAAAGGTGGAGGATATGATAATTTCATAAGTATCGACACAGAAAAAGAAGCGTTCCAAGATGATCAACTCCTATATGCTTCGCAAGCCAAACAAGTGTTCTACATCTGCGAGCCTGTTAACCATCGAAGAAACCAAAACAACAACCCTCGTTGTGTCGTCGAGCATGTTAATCATCGAAATATTTGGGATCTACCATCCGACAATGCTCGTGTCCAAAATGCTTACAGTGACTCTGTCTAAGATGTCGACAATGTGCAAGCCGAAAATGTTGACATAGTTCTAAACAACTCTTCATCTGGAGCTATACTTTTTATCGAATTCTCACAATACTTTCAAAACAATGTTAATGTAGCTAAAAATAATGTTGATTATGATGATGAGCACGAGACTGAAGTACCTCCCCTAACAGGTAGAATCGATAATGTTTCTGATGAAAAGACTGATTATGATGATGACGATTATGATTATGATATTGATGAAAAAGACATTGAAGTATACGATGAAGATTCTGATTAAGAAAATCAAATGTTTTTTTTTTTTTTTTTTTTTTTTTTTTTTTTTTTTTTTGTCATAGAAACTTTATTTGAAATGTACCTTTAATTCATATTGTTTGTCTAACTTTTATTTATGTTGCTTGTCTATATTGTATATCTTACAATTTCGCAGGGTAACTAACTTTTATTCATATTGTATTTATATATTGTACATCTTGTAGTTTACAAGCTACAGATGAAGTTTACTTGGGCGATACTCTTGGCCATGATGACCGATGTTATGGGGCTTGGACATGGAAGTGATGGAGTCGGGGATCCACCACCTCCAATAGGCTTTGGTCGTGGTCAGCACGAACAGGATGGTGAGTTTTATTATGATATATTTATTAATTATTTTTATTATTTTATTATAGGTTATCGTGACTAATATTTTTAATTGTATTTTTTCAGCCGAGTTTCCAAAAAAAAAAAAGAGGGCATGTAAAAATATCGAGCTGGGAAAGTTGATACGGGCAAACTAGGGAAAGCCCGTAGATTTGGATTTTGACAGGAATTATTCCCCTGTCGGAAAGTGTGGTAATTGGTTCACACATGAAATTGAGAGGTATTTGTGGAACAACGTCCATTTGAATGTATCTGGTTGGGACAATGTTTCCTCCACCTTAAGGAATGCAACAGTTGTGCATCTAAAGATAACTTGAATACAATTTTAAGTTTAGTTGTGATTGTTATTTAATTAACTAATTTTTTTTGTATTTTGCAGAATAAATTTGATTTGGATAAGGTGAACATGGATAAGGAGCGTGCTCAGTTGTTGCGGAGCATTGATTCGACACTTGCAAACGTTTACAGAGGCCGGAAAAGTAAAGTTAATTCTTATTTTAAGGAAATCGGGGGGGGGGGGGGGGGGGCTGCAGATGTCACAACCGCATTGTACCGCCTCCCCAATGGCATGTCACGTGAAAATTGGGCGAAGATAGTCGAACATTTTCAAACGCCAAATTTTTTAAGGCGTTCAATGTCAAACATAGAATGTCGTGCAAAACAAATAGTTGTAAACAGAGGGGGGCCGAGCTCATACAACAATGCATGTTTCAAAGAAGTAAGTTATGATATATTTATATATTTATTTAAAGCACAAGTAAACTAATTTTTAATGTTAAATAGGATATCAATCGAATTGAAGCTTTTCGTAAGGCTAATTCCAATCGACAAGGGGTATTTTATAGCCCTGCAGTCGAACAACAATTAGTATGTGGTTAATTTATATTTTCATATAAGTGTTTATATCGTTAAGGGTATTTAGTAATCTAAATTTTATGTTTTTTTATTATTTTAAAAAAAATACAGAATGCTTTACTCCAGGAGATCAACGAACGAACCCAAACTGTTAATCCAAGTGTTTTTGGAGCAGACGGACCCCAATTAAGTGAGAAAGGGGTGTAATAGCGACACATGAATCCACGTTATTCGTTTTAATTGACCTCAATCAACGTAACCGCGTGTGTTTGCCGGTAATAATGGGTATTTGTGAACATATGAAACAAGTTTGTTGGGTAAATAAGTACAAATACCAAATATTGCTATATGTGAACATACAAAATAGTTATCCTACTAATTCTATCATTAGAATCATAAGTAATTGGGCAGCCAATCCAAAACATTTTTGATGAAAAAATGAAATTTTATTCGACACACTTTTATTGGGTACTCATAAAAGCAAACGTAACATTGTGTAATGATGAAATAAATAATAATCAGGCTCTAATACATCTTAAGATAGTTGCTCCAGAAGTGTTCGGGATTAACTAGCACACATTATATCATCCACTACACTTTGCTATTAATCCACTATTGCTTCAAGAATTCTTCAACCTACCATTCACGAGTTTTAAATTAACAAAAAGACGAAAGAATTGTCTGGAGAATAAAGACGAAAGAATTGTCTGAAGAATAAAGATGTCTACTTTTAATTCTTGCCGTATCAGTGAATTTGTTAGGATTACTATGTAACATAAAAAGGGGAATGAATGATGTTGCAATCTTCACAAACCTGTCTCCGTGATTCTCTTTTTGTGCATGTTCTTTAACATATGTCATGAGTACGCGGTGGATAGTAACCATAACTTGACTTCTGAATTATAGAAACATAAGTAAATCGGTATCCCCTCTCAATCAATGATATCTATTTATTGCATAAAAAACATAAAAAAATGAAAAGGAGCTGCAGATAATACCTCCTCCTTCTGCTCACCATACTTATAAGCACATTTATAGACTTTAATTCTCTTTGAATTAAGCTTTTCAAGTTCCCTATCCATGCTTCTGATGCTCTTTCTCACAAGTTCCAACTCTACCTTGAGTCGGGTCACTTTAGTGGTACGTTCCTTTTGATCCCTCTTTATTTCGTCAATTTGGTTTAAGTTAATCTAATTGTATAAAAATATACATGAAGTGAGTAGTAATATAATGAAAAATTGAACAAAAAAGTTATAATTCAGTTGAGGAATTAAAACTATACTTTAATACGATGCTGCCTCATTTGTTCGTTATAGAGTCGTCTTCTCGATCCTCCAACGTCATATCTTCTCCAATTACTACGTGGGTCAGGTTCTGTTGGTGCAGTATATGTTTCTATTGTTTCTTTGAGATTTCTTATTTCGTGAAAGAATTTTTTTTCTTCTCTCCGGTTATTGTTTCCATGTTGGATCCTGTGTACAAGGCTCTCCATCTTCCAAAAGGAAGTAGAAAGAAACTATATGTCAAAATCAATATAACAACCTAAGGAAGATAAGCAATTTATGTGTATAAATTATAATTTATCAGTATATACCACATCGTTAAGCTCTTGTGTACCATGGGTTGGCCTGTTACCCGATTTCATTGAAGAAAGAAGTTCTTCTTGAACCTGTTTCAGATATTCCATGTCTATCCTCTCTTTCTTTAGCCGTTTATGGCATCGTTTTCTATCAGTACCAATATAAACCTACAAAAAAAAATAGAAAAAAATTGGCCACGAATCCACAGAAACAGAAAACTTCTCTTTAAAAATTCACTTTCATTCTGCTCAAGAATTTTGGGAAAGTCGGGAGGAAAAATAGTAAATGTAATCAACTCTTACAGGCGATTGAGGATCGTTTTCAGTTAAATGCAAGAAACCAGCTGTTCTTGGTATTGGTCTCATTGGTAAATGAGGCTTCACATCATCTACAGTAGCTCGTTCAAGGTACATGAGGTCACGTGTTTTCCACTCTAACTCCTTGTAAATCCAAATTAATTCGTAGTTTTTTTGATGTTCATCTTTCTGTAAGGAGAGATTTGTGAGTTGTTTTTCCTAACTCATCCAAAGAAGAGCACAATATTTCTACTGTTGTCACTTTAAAGCAATGCACATCATTTCTTATGAACATTAATTTCCATCAACACTTACCTTTCGTAGATCTATTTTTTGAAGGATATCGTACATAGAAACACTCATCTGTTGATACAACTTGTGAGCTTCTTCTTTTTTTACTTCCTCCGGAGAAGGACAACTCTTGACCAAATAGAACTGAAGTTCGTTGGTCTTTTTATGTGAGGTCATTTCCGTGACTTTCTCAATGGAATCTGACTTAACAATCAGGCCATATTCCTTTGGGTCTTCCATTTGGCTGTGCATCATCCAATGTTTCCTGAAAACAATAATAGTGTCAACTAACATTTTTGCAAAATAGGTACAAACAGATGAAGCAGAATCAAGATAAAAGATATTGTAGATCAAACGGGAGAAGCTTGTTAAAAGTAAGTAATAACGATAAACATTTTTGCCTGGCTACTTGAGATAAGTTTTCTTTCATGAAAAAAGAACACATGATCATGAAAATGATGTTGGTGTTATGGCATTTCATGTTAGAAGAATAGGTTTTGAAAAGAAAGAAACAACCAACCTCAACTGGAAGGCATTACTTGGTAATCAGAAAGATGAATATTCATAATGCTAAGTACATAGTATTTATAAATTAGGTTGGTTTGGTCGGTAGCACTTGCACCCCACGGAAAGAAAGTCAACTTATCTAAGGTCAATTGCAATCATTTTTATTCGTTCACTAAATTATGATAAACCTTTTTTTTTTTTTTTTTTTTTTTTTAATCTTCCTGGGTTAAAATGGTTAGCAGCTAGGACCCAAGTTCTTAATCCGAAACCTTGCCAGGTCCTGCACTGCTTTCATGCCTCCTCCGGTCTCAAGGTAAACTTTGATAAATCAAAGGTTTTTGGCATTGGCGCTGATATGCATGAAGTCTCAAGATGGGCCATAACTCTTGGTTGCAAACCATCCTCTCTCCCATTCACTTACCTTGGTGTTCTGGTCGGGGCGAACATGAAATTAATTAAAAATTGGAAACCGATGATCGAGAGTTTTCATAAAAAACTATCCATATGGAAATCCAAAAACCTTGTTGTTTGGTGGTAGACTAACGCTTGTTCAGTCGGTTCTGGGTAACTTACCAACTTATTATCCCTCGATATTTGTGGCTCCCAAGGGGGTGATTGAGACGTTAGAACGAATTCATAGGAAGTTCTTACGGGCTAGTACATATGAAAAAAGAAGCATACACTGGGTATCCTGGGACAAACCGCATCCAAAGACATTGGCGGGCTTGGTGTTGGTACGATAAAATCTCTAAACTGCTCCCTCGTTATGAAGTGGTAGTGGAGACTACGATCTAAGCCTACATCCCTTTGGGCCAAAGCCATACGTAGCATGCATAATTTATACAACAAACCAGACCACTGTTATGCAAGGAAATACATACCGGGTGTGTGGAAAAACATCACGAGTATCGGAAAATACCTTCAAAATAAAGGTATACCAACTGAAACAATGTTATACAAACAATCAGGTCCAGGTGGTGAAACATGGAAATGTAATCTCACTGTTGACGGATCATTCATTGTAAACGTCCTCTAGAAAAAACTAGACTTCAACACCACACTAAACTTGAGGGAGATCCCAATTAAAATTAGTTGTTTCATTTGGAGGGCTAAAATGGGAAAAATACCTTCAACCTTGGGCCTTTTATCCACAGGGGTAGATGTGGAAAATGTTTTATGTAGTCATTGTGAAGAAGTAGTGGAAGGCTACCATGCATTGGTGGAGTGTAAATACGCGAACACGATTATACAACTGGTGCTAAAATGGTGCAGATTTCCTCTCATAGAACTCAAAACAGTACATGAGGTGATCACATACACTCAAGCATGGTCCACCTGCCCCCAAAAAAAAGAAGGTTGCTAATGGGAATTTGTTACGGCACGCTCCGGAACATATGGAAAGTGAGGAACAATATAATTTTCAATAAAACCGGCTCCCTGCTCTCATTTGTGTAGACATGATCAAATCCACTACATACCCATGGATAAAAAACAGGGGGAAAACAGGAGTATTGATTGGTTAGCATGATGTAGATCTCCGTTTCTTTGTGTGTAATCGGTAATCTTAACATTCGTACACTGTTATTTCCCCTCCTCTAGTCATTTGCTAGAGTTTAGTCTTATTAATATATTTGCCGGTTCCAAAAAAAACACTGGTGTCTAAAAACAAAAGCACCTAAAAATTAAGGGATCATTGATAGGAGTTACTTTGAACCTAACAATTATAATAAATTCCACACAATTTTCAAAATTAAGGCTATGTTTGGAGTATATACCACCTCTAAAATTAGCTGATCCGTTTTCAAATTTATTTACTTTATTTTACCGACATTACTGATCATCTGTTGAGTCTGTAACCATGGTAGCTATGATTCATTGTTGTTCTTAGTCTTATTGTTTAAACAATATTTAAACAAATAAACTCTTAAAGAGTTTATTATGTACGTAAAATATTGCAGATAGATATTATTAATAGATGGGATTTAACCCTCGCGAGAAACCATCATTTTCATTTTTTTTTAGTTTTTATTATTTGGTTGTTATTTACAAACACAACAAACTGAGTAAATTTACATTTTCTATAACTTGAAATCAATATTGATATACTTCCAAGACATGATATTATACATCATTCTACTTTGAATAAGAAATTATGATCAAGACAAAAATATTATAGATCATTCAACTTGAATAAGAAATTGTGATCATTAAATTATAACCATTGTAACATAATTTTTCTAGTATATAATCATTTCTGCTTCATAATCTCTCTCTCTCTCTCTCTCTCTCTCTCTCTCCCTCTCTCTCTCTCTCTCTCTCTCTCTCTCTCTCTCTCTCTCTCCTTGTATTTTGGCAAATGATACAAATTAATCACTATATGATAAAAAAATTACACTATTCACAAGAAAAAAATTCCCAACAAACATCTCGATGATTAATTTTTACTATGATTTTGTTGATATTTATTAAAGTTGTCATAAAAGTAAATTTTTCTTGATTTATTTAGAATGAATCATTAAGATGTCTTATGTGAACTTTTTTTTGTTTAGAATCATTTACTGTATAATCATCTAATGATTCATTTTTTTGTTTGCTAATAAAATCTGTATATAAATTATTTTTCCTTCCGACAAAAAATTTCCTTCTTATTTCATAATATATATATATATATATATATATATATATATATATATATATATATATATATATATATATATATATATATATAGGTTGATGTGATAAGATATAATTTTGTGACACCGTGTGATGTAAGCATAGCCACTCATTTTCTAGATAAAACTATATTTTTAAAAGACAAAATAATGGAAATTTTCGAAAAAAAAAATTCAAATATTATTTTCTTCATTTATATTTTCCAAAAAAAACTTTAAAAAATACAAAAAATTAAAAATAAATAAATAAAATACTTTTTTTACATATTCTAGTAGAATGAACCCGAATATATATATATATATATATATATATATATATATAGAGAGAGAGAGAGAGAGAGACAGAGCGAACAATTATGAAGTTGAGAAGACGAGAACAAATTTAGACCATATATTTAGAATCTACCACTTAAGTGTTAAAGCATACCCTGACGTCAATACATATAATATTTATAAATGTACAATCATATTCATATATAAATAAGTATATTCGTATATGAATATTCATATATGAATAATTGTATACTTATTCGTATATGAATAAATATATTCGTATAAATATATATGTGTCTATTCTTTAATGATTATACATATTTGAATATGGTGGTAGGTGGTGTAGTGGCGGCGATAATAAGCGTGGCGGTTGCAGCGGCAGTTACAGTGGTGGTAGTTGCGGTGACGTGTGTGGTGGTGCCAGCAATGGTGAAGATAGTGGAAAACATTGCTATGGTGGTGGTGTTTGTGGCAATGGCAGTGCAACTGCCGATAGGTGCTAGAGATGTTGGTACTTATGCATATATGTATAAAGATATAATCATATATGAAAAAGTATGTGTGTAATGCCTAGTTCCCCGTATGAATTTATCTTTGCAATTATTATATTTTCCTTGAAGAATTAGACAAGTTGGAAGCCTAAAACTCATCGAGTAGAAGTTACCTTGACCACGGGTATTAATGAGGAAACTCGATGATTTAGGATGTCTCAACTCAACAAGTTGGCCGCTCAGGAAGAAACCCTAATTTTAGGGTTTTGTACCCTATTTAAACATCTTAAGTCCTAGGTGTTGGCCTCATTTCGAGCCTCCAAAGTCCCTAACCCTAATCTCGAAACCCTAAATCCTCTTTGAGTGTTGTGATCCCTTTGTGGGTGTATTTTGGTGTGTGTGAAGTCATGGAAGAAAGAGAAGCTTGGTGCAAGGTGGTGATTTAAGTAGGAGCCTTCAAGATCTCGATTCTTTGCATTATTTCTAGCATATTTTTTGTACAAAGTTCTAGCATTGATCAATATTTGACTAGATTTCTTTTTGGGGTTAGTTTTCATGCTTTGCCATGTTTGGGTGATTGGTGGGTTGAAGGTCATCCCAAGTGTTTTCCTTCCATATTTACAGACCTCTTGAGCACTTTTGGCATAAAGGTGCCAACTTTATTGTCTTAAGAGCTCCATGCTTGCATTAAGTCCATTTTATGTCTTCTTTTGGACAGTTAAGCCTCTTCTAAGCATACTTGAGAGTAAAGTTGGGTTACCCATAAGCCGTACGCTGGGCGTAACCTGGCATACACGGTGAATAGTGGCCCAGTGTATGCAGGAAGATGCCAAACCATAACTTATAGGGTTTATGACATATAAATACCACATTATAGCCTCCCCTTTGGCCTCCTCACCAGTCCCTCATCCTCAGAAAACCCTAGTTCGTCTTATACTCCATTGTTTTGTGTGCTTGACCTTTTTGAGTTTATTTTGGTGAATAAAGGCTTGGAAGAAGTAAATAGAAGTTGGAGGTGAAGCACTTGAGTATCTTAAGCTCAAGGATCTGGAACTAGTTGATCTTTTAGCACCTAAAGGAGGTATAAAGCTCCTATCATTCCTCTTAGAAGCTTAGATCTAGGGTTTTGAAGATTTGGAACTTTTTTGTGTCCAAAGAATGGATCTTGTTCATGCACTTCATTTTTGAGCTTAGGGTTGCCACCCTTTAAGCTCAAAAGTGTTCCTTTAGCAGTAAAGTTTCAAGATTTAAGGCGTTTATGTAGCCATGCATGAGATCTAGCCATTTAGATGGAAGTTTATTGCTATGTTTAGAGTTTTGGTTCATTTGGTGGGTTGCAAGCCACCAAGTGATTGACTTTATGGGTTAGGATAAAGTATTGGACTCAGATCTATAGTTTAGACGTATTGTCTTAAGGGATTAAACAGTTTTGGAGAAAAAAGCTTAATAAGAGAGTACGATGGGTGTACAAGCTAGTACGCACGTCGTACAAGCCATTTCAGCAGTACGCTCAGAGTAGGCTCAGTTAGTGGGCTTTATGTCATTGGGCATCGGTTTCGACCAAGATTTGGACATAGTAGTAGTTGGGTCATGATGAGCCTTTACAAGTTAGTCAAGGGCCCAAGGACTATTTGCGTTTGAGAGGAAAGCCCATTTGTATCACACCCCCAAACCAGAATAGCAGAAACGTTCGGGGGTGGATGACATCATGTGTAGTATCATAACCATTGTATCATAGCAATCATAGTAAACACAACCTTTGCATTGATTACATATATAAAAAAGGTTTACATCTGTTTAAGTCTCGTTTGAATACATCAAAAAGTGTAGGTAAGTATAAAGACATGACTTTAATCACTACGACTTCTCAAAACTCTAGGAGGTACCTATCTACTAATTTCCTGAGAATACAAGCAGTTTTGAAATAGTATTAGCATAAAGCTGGTTAGTTCATACGCATGTTTTGTAATGAAAATTTGTTAACGACTTTATAGAAATGTTTGTATATTTCCAAGAAAATCCAATATTTTGTTAAGTAATGAAAAGTACTCTTAAACCCGAAGACAATTTGTAAGTTCATTATTGAATTATGTGCTTATGTCTGAAAGTACTTGTGTGTATGCTTGGTACCACCAGCTATATCGTATGGTTTTGTATGAATGTTCTTGTATAAAATCCCTGGCTACCACCAGTATTGTAAGTAGTGTATAGTATGAATACCTTGGTTAACCCCATTATGTATAGTATGAAAACCCTGACTAACACTAGTATGTATAGTAGTTTTATTACTTAAAATAAAACCATTAAAGATTGAAATTCCATAAACAAATGATTAGCTTATACTTATTCTGAGTCGTATAACCATGCTTGATATGGCATAGAGACCTTTACAACGTTCTTCAAGTGTTGGTTCCATGACATTTGTCACCTCAGGCATGCCTGCCTAACTGTAGCTAGCAGCTCAGGTGTGAGATTGTCAATCCCAAATACATCTATTCAAAAATCTCATGCTCTCCCTCTAGGCGACTTAGGTTATACTATGATAGGATTTAATTCAGTACACCTAAGGGTAGAGTTTTGAAGTAGAGCCTCACAATGTTGTACAATCTAGTTACATGTAATTCTAAAGTGTTTGCTTGTATTAGAATCCGCTGAATGCGGTATACAGTAATAATTATACTTAAATAATTATGAAATGTCATGCCCTGGTAGTAAAGAATACTATAAACTAAATCTATCATAGTTTACATTTTTAGTGGTGAATAACTCTGAATTCATAAACGTTATGGTTTGAAAACCCCAAACTATACCTATTATAGTTTACATGTATATGATGTGTATGTTGAATCTGAAAACTATGCAATTTTTGTTTGTAAGTTGAAAACGTCCCTAATGCTCAACATAGTACAAAAGGGATAAGATATCTAAATATTTTATACAACTATGAAAATCGTTTGTCTGAATCAATTGCATGATTTCTATACTTGTTAAAAGTCGTTTTGTATTAGTTCATAAAGTATTTGTGTTTGGCTTGTATAGATATAGATTTATAGAAAAAAATTCCGTTCATACAAAAAAAGCCCCTGAAAACGTTTAAAAATCTTAAAAGCGCAGTGGTATGAACTCACCTCGAGTGAGTGGTTTGTATGAAGGATCGATAAGAGATGTTGAGTGTCAAATGAAGCCTCAAACACAATTGGATCCTATTTAACATGTAATAACACATATATGATTCAATTTAGGGTAGTCCACGACTTAGACATGATAAGAAAACACCTTAAGGAGTGACATTAAATAATTTGTGAGCTGCTCCAGCTGCATGACGCTGCAGGACATGATTGATATGGCTAGAGAGAGGAAGTTGGATTTAAAGATGGAGAGGAAGAAGAAACTAGATGGGGTTTAGTCAGGGGGTTCGGGAAAAAGGCACAAGGTATTAGATCACAGATCTCGGACCCAACGGAGCTACGACCGTTGTAGTAAATGTGAAAGGATGCACGAGGGGACATGCAAGGCAGGAAGTTCGGGCTGCTACAAGTGCGGCCGAACTGGTCATATGAGTCGGGTTTGCACAATCACTACCACAACCATGATAACATCAGATATGATTTGCTTTTAATGCAATCAGAGGGGGACACAAGCAATCCTAATTCCCGAGTTTAGCAGCAGCAGGGGAAGGTGGCAGCGCCATCTCCTGCCACTTTGAGGATTACAGATGGTTGTCAGGGCCAGGCTGAGGCGCCTACGACATGGAGCAGGGCTTTCCAGCTTACTGCAGAGGAGGCACGAGTAGCTATTGACGTGGTGATGGGTATGTATCTTTACCTTATCTCTCTATTGATATTGTTTGTTACTTAGGTTTTCATGTTTTGTTATAGGATCCTTCTTATTTAACAGTATATCAACTTTAGTACTGTTCAATTCGGGTGCTACCCTGTAAAGCTCTATTCTGAATTGACTCCTAGTTTGAGGTTATGGATCGAAGGTATGTCATTATAAAGATTATGGCTTTTAGGAAGGTAAGATCAAGGCCTATTTGGGTGCTAATGATGTATTAGAAGTGATCCGGGTGTTTGCTTCGTGTTTTGGAGCCTAGGGGTATTTCAGTAAAGTGGCAGTTTGGGATTTTATGGAAAATATATTTTGGTTCAAAAGGTCTTAAGAAAGGAATGAGTTGTTAGAAGTTTAGGGCTTCTCATTAGCTTTCCATGGATATAAGGATCGTCAGAAGCGTGCTTATAACAAAGAAGTTATGGCCTTCAGAAGTTTCATGGTTTTCAGGCTTAGCGAAGTACACGGGGCGTACACAAAGATTAAGCGAGGCGTACTAGTGAAGAAGTTAGTACGATGGGCATACCTTGGAGTACGTTGGGCGCACTTGATGGGTTTTGGTCATAAGACATCCTATGTGCTCATACAAACCCTAATGCTTGGATCTAGGTTTCTCTATTGTACATGCTTTGAATCCAAGACTATAAACCCTAATTCTAGCATACAAGTAATCATATTAATGTGTAATTAGGTTTAAGATCATACCTTGATTGTTATGTAGCAATAACAATCCCAATTCCACCTTGGATTGACTTTGGAATGCTTAGAGTCACAAGTGTCACTCCTCTAATGGCTCACAAACACCATAAGCAAGTGGAGAAGGTATAAGGAGAGAGGTGAGAGGTTAGAATTCGTATCTAGGACCTCTTGGGAAGGGATACACGAATTCATGGCCCTAGGGGTGTTTATATAGGTGTAGAGAGAGGGTTTCAGTCATTATCCTTATCTAGTTGATTATCCATTAAGCAACCAATAAGATAATCCTTGAATCCTTATCATACTCGAATTCTAAGATTTAACCTCAAATTCGTTCACCATATATATAAGATAATCCTTACCTTATTTTGTAACTATCACATAATTACAATTCAGCCCCTCTAGTTTAATTAATTACATTTGATCACAAAACTAATTCTTAATTAATTATTGACCAATATTAATTAAACAAATATGATTTCTCCTTTAATATATTATTCTTATAACATATTAATAAATTATAATAATCTCTCTCTCTTTATTTATTTCTCCAATCAAGTTGCTTTGGTGAAGGCAACCCAAAAGGACCATGCACCATCGGTCAAGTACATACCAAAATAGTTATGGACTTAGACACTAATCCAACAGTCTCCCACTTGGATAAGTCTAATAACTATTATGCGTATGACTTCAGATCCTGATCTGCAATCGTAGCTTTCCAAAGCCGCTGTCAACTCTGATCCTATCAGATACGCGTGTCCTTAGATAAGGGATCATATATTCCTCCATTCTAGATATCGTATGAGATATGATTTCAAATCATTCTCTTTGTACTATCTCGATTTCCGATTTATGACGACAGACTAATTGAACAAATCAAATTAGCCCTAGCCGGCCGAGCATTTACGTGTCATCACTAAACCATCGAGGGGCCCAAAGATATCGCTTTTATCCTACTTTGGATAAAAGGAACGGATAAACTTTGATACAATGCTCGCTTGCACTCACTACCAATCACACAACAATATGTTTTATAACACCAAGTTACTAGTGCGTTTACATATTATCAATGTGCAACCGATTCGCAAGATACAACTCACACATCTCGGTTTCAAGAATATAAGATGTTATCGTCTCACCAATCACTCGTAATACAATTCATGGAGTGATCCAAGTGAGCGTGGGTTTAATCCAATGCTCAAATCATATTCATAAGCACTCATGAACGTTGCAGCAAACATTTGCTTATGTCTAATACTCTTTAGACAATCCAC